CGCTGGAAGTCCAGTGAACTTACTCCTGAAACTCTACGACATTTACAACAGTTGCTATAAGTAAGACAGCAGGATTTTCGAACATTTTTACAGGGCACAAACGTTCTCTTTATGTTAACAGGTCACAGTATTCCACTTTCTTTTAGTGTACACATATTGCAATAAAGTACAGAGGAGGAGGATCAGCAGTTAAAGAAATGAGGTACGTTTCAGTAATAGGGAAGTAGGATAAAATTAGGTACACAAGCTATTATGATGTTTTTCACTTTCAATGTTGTACAGCTTAAAGCAAAAACCCTGCATCAGACACAGATTCAGTGCATTGTAAGACATACTGAGTTACAAAATGTGTCCCTTCCGCTTGCCTGCCTTGAGACTGCATGCTCATAGGGAATCTTTGGGTTCTCTGTATAAATTTGGGAGGACTTCACCTTACTACTGTGCTATGAGAGGACATATGTTGTGCACTAGCACCATATAAATAAAACTGAATTGAATGGAATTGAATTATTCTATTGAACCTCATCTGGAAATTTATTCAGTTTCTGAGAAAGCCTTTCATCAGACTGCTTGAAAGTCATGACATTGCCATACGTCCAGTGATACACAGCACATGATCAATTTAACCATTTCATGAAAATCAGACTGTTTAAACTACTGGTAAAAAATATCACACTTTCTTTCAGTACTGTGAAAAACATGCAATCTAAAAAAAAACTTACCAGTTTCCACCTCAGGATCTTGATCCACTCATCTGCCTCCGCACCCGTTTTTGCACAAAGATAAAATGTTCGCTGAGCAAACACTAGACTGTGGACAAGCAGAGACTTAAAGTGTTACTCAAGTGCAAAAATAAGAGTGTTGTGCATTATATAATCTGATGTAGTTTTGACACATAAAAGTAGTATGTATGTAATCCAAAGCATGGACGCACAGGACCAAACATAGAGTCATGGAAAAAATTATTAGACCACCCCTGTTTTCTTTAATTTCGTGTTCATTTTATTGCCTGGTATCCCTAATGCAACGACTAAAAATGCAGCTGATTCCATAATACTTTATGTCCTATTTGACACGCTTAAGCTTAATTGTATTCCCAGCAGTGGTGTGCCGTCAGGGCCAGCAAGGCCTTCTCTGCTGGCCTAAACTTTATCAGAATCACTGACTTGCGTTGTAATATTTTCCCATTAATCTTTTTACATTATTCCCAATGGTCTGTTCTCTTCATTTAATAGCGTGTCTCTGGGCTGTGGTGCTTCTAGCAGTGTATATTTATATGAGAGCTTCTTTTCTTTTTATCCAGTCATATTTCCGCCATCATGTGTTACCAGGGTCACAGAAATCTGTCCTGAGGCCTTCAGAATCAAAAGTGCAGGCACATGTAGCTTAAAATGCATTGCAATGAAACTGTGGCTTTAACCAATCAGATTTAGAGTTGGAGATCCCAGGGCCAGCTAGCTGGCCTACGATGACATCATCACTTTCACATCCTCTGATTGGATGGTCAGAGAGCCTAGCCAAAGCTAGTGACTGGTATCTGTAGTGACTTGCACAAGCTAAAACTTTATTGTGAAAGTATTGTTTTTTTTTTTGTTGTCTTTTTTAAGCTAAGCAAGCGGACATTCTCAGCCTTAAAGCGAATTAAAACTTATGCCAGAAACACGACTGGACAGACCCGACTTTCAGCATTAGCCTTGATGGCGATAAAACAGGACTAATGTTGGAAGTGAAACACACGGATTACCTGCTCAACTGAGTGATTGAACTGTTCATGATGAAAGAAAGGAAGATGGAGTTTGTGTTCAAACAATCACGTTATGGTGAGTAAAATATATATTTTTGTCATTTTATTGGGCTGATATTGATGCTCCTGTTAGATGTGATGTATGTGGTGCAGCTGTGGCTGCAGCAAAAGGAGACTTGTTGAATTGTTTTAACTGGGTTTCTTGCTTTAGTGATGGCATTCATTCTCGCTACATGAGATATCTGTCTGCAATGCAACGTCCTGCTGTACTGCCTTCCTGCATAATACTGATGGCTTCTATAGCCATAGCGTCATAATGACGGTGTTAGGAGATGGTTTGATTCAGGCAGGCTGCCACTGAAGGCCTAGGAGTAAAATGCACGGCCCGCCACTGATTCCCAGGGTATATAAGAGGCCATTTCATGTCATAAGCAGGCCTGCACATGCAAAGACCTAGAGTGGTTTCCTGCTTACATTCAAGCCGTAGCATAACTCAGAAGTTGTCAGCTCTCACATAGTGCCCAAAACAAAAGAATTATGTGAAGCCACAAAGGCAGCCATCTTGGCACTGCTGCAACTTGGCATGAGTGAGAGACAGGTAGCAAAAACCATCTAAAAGACAGCCGTTCATTACACCAAGAAAAAACAAGCCCAACATGGTACCACCAAATTGCTAGCTGGTCGTAGCAGGAAACGTCTTTCTACCCCACGAGATGACCGTGCACTCATCCGTTCCTGTGTCAGGAATCATTGTCAGACCTCCAGGGACCTTAAAAATGAGTGGGCACTGTCAAGAAATGTCTTGTTCAGCAAAGACAGTTGGAAACCGACATCTTGAAGCTGGTCTGAAGTCACACAGGGCACGGAAGAAGCCCTTCATCAATGAAAGGCAGAGGAAAGTCTGGTTACTCTTTGCTGAGGATCACAAGGCTTAGACTGTTGATGATTGGGTTAAGGTTCTCTTCAGTGATGAATCCAACATTCAGTTGAGGCCCACCAGCCAAACAAGGGTGGTCTAATCACTTTTACCATGACTGTATAATTTAGAATTTGCCATAAGACGTTCTTCCTAGTTTTCTGCTGGCTCTGTCAGCCCAACATATCCTAAATATTACAATATACACACAAATATAACAACTTATTTGAAACTAGGTGTTGTACAGTGGTGGGTCCCTGACTTTGTTGCCAAACTGACCTTTTTTAGAAGTTGATCAAATAATTTCATCTTTTGCTTTAGCATCTGTGATTTCACATTTTACTTTTAGGACATGGTTTATCTCAGCATTTTTCTCAACTTGGAAGGGTAAGTCCAGTATTTCTTAAATTTGTCTTAAAATAATATAAACACTAAAACAGATTTTGAATGGTAAAACCATTTTTCTGTTCATATTGTCCATTCAGTTGATATGCTGTGCTATGACAGAAATGCTGTCAACCTCTAACCCCCCCCCCCCCCCCTCACTGACTACAAAAGAAATGACCGTGTCTGATACTGTAGGACCCATATTTGGCTGATTACTTATTATGTTCCTGCTGAATTCAGAAGAAGACAAGAAAACAATAGAAAAATTAAACACTTTCTGTTTTGATTAATAAACAGATTATGACATTATGTAACTCATTTTTAAAGCCACTGCTGCTTTTCAGCTCATGTGCACATCTAATTCCCTTCCTTCTGCTTTCTTATGTAATTTCACTGTTCAAATGTTCCCCTTTTTCAAACAACACAAATGTCAGACTCTGCTGCCAATGGGAAATACACCTCAGAAAAAAAACACTCATGTGGCCTCAGATTGCAGTGTTCTGATCTGGAATAATTACAGCATTGATTTCATCTAATACATATTGTGCATTTTTTTCTTTTCTTAGTTCAGTATATAACTGTCCTGTTATCGCTTTAATGGGTCGAATGCACCTCATTCATTTTTTGTGTGGTTGCTCATATGCTGTTGGGATCACTATGTGTGGTAGGAAAAAAAAAGAGAAAAAAAAAGAAAAAGCAAAGTCCAATTGCTAAGCTAAGACAGTAGACTCATCTCTGAACTTATCCTTAGTGTTGCATTTGACACAACTGATTATAACAGATTCTATTACACAAACTGGAATATATTCAGACAAACTAAAGTTTCGTATTTGGTCCTAAACACTTCAGAAACACACTATTAAACCATATTGCTAATCTACATTGCTTTTGCCTCCAGTACTACTGTGAGGAACCTTGAGCTTATTTTTGATTGGGAAGTATCCTGTAACTCTCTCATAAAGCCAGGCTGTAGGATGGCCTTTTTTCATCTGTGCAATGCTATCAAAAATAAGAATGGTAAATGGCCTGCACTTATATAGTGTCTTTCTACCTTAGTGGTACTCAAAACACTTGACAGTGTGCTTCTCGTTCAACTTCGGGTTCAGTGTCTTGCACACTTCAACTGTGGAGAGGCAGGGGATCAAACCATCAACCTTGCAATTTGAGGAAAACCTGCTCTACCTACTGAGCCACAGCCCCCTGGAATATGAACATTCTGTCTCAGAGTGATGCTGTAAAACTAGTCCATTCATTTGTTACTTCCAGGCTGGACTCTTTTGGACTCTTTCTCTTCTCAATCAGCTTTGCAGCCATCTGCTGGGGCAGTAGCATCAGAACCAGAGACTTAAAGAAACTAAACAAGCTGATCAAGAAAGCTGGTTCTGTGCTGGGGATAACTCTGGAACCACTGGAGCTGATTGTTCAAAAAGGAATGCTGCACAAGATGATGAAGATGATGGAGGATTCTTCCCACCCTCTCCACAACACAGTGAAGAATCAACAGAGTGTGTTCAGTGGGAGGCTGCGTCAGTTTCACTGTAGAACGGAGAGATACAGAAATTCATTCCTGCCAACAGCCATCACCTTGAAAAACAAATCTGACTGACTGACAATTGACTGACTGAATGATTATTATTATTGTTGTATAAAATATATGTTATATTGATTTTTTTAAAAAGTGAGCTTTTACAATATTGAATTTCCCTTCTGGGATAAAAAAAATTTTCATTATCATTTTCATTTCATTGATTAATTACCATCAGAATGTCAGTGATGATATTTCTCCCAAATTAGCTTCTCTTCATTGGGTCCCTGTAAACCCCAGAATAGACCTGAAAACTCTCCTCTTCACATTCAAACTCCATAATGACTGAGTTCTCTCTTATCTTGAAGACCCTATTGCCATAAATCACCTGCTACACACAGCCCTGGCCCACCTGGGCACTAGGAAGGGGAATTATGTGCGAATACTGTTCGTGGACTTCAGTTCAGCATTCAACACCATAATCCCCTCCAGACTGGTCACTAAGCTGCAGGACCTCGGACTCATCGCCTCCCTGTGCAGGTGGGTCTACAGCTTTTTGACCAGCAGATCACAGGTGGTTTGAGAGGGAAATCACCTGTCCCCCTCACGCACCCTGAACATCGATGCCCCCAGGGCTGTGTGCTGAGCCCTCTGCTGTACTCACTGTACACCAATGACTGCCTGTCCACATCAGACTCTAACACCATCATTAAGTTTGCTGATAACAAACTGGTGGGTCTGATATCCAACAACAACGAGGAGGACTACTTGATGGAGATCACCCACCTGGAGGACTGGTGCAGAGACAACAGCCTCCTTCTGAATGTCAACAAGACCAAAGAGCTGATTGTAGACTACAACAAGAAGCAGCAGAGGGCACACCACCCATTCAGGACCAGCAGGACAGAGGTGGAGCAAGTGGAGAGCTTCAAGTACCTGGGTGTTAACATCAGCAGGACCTGACATGGTCCTGTCACATCAACACCCTGGTGAAGAAGGCTCGACAGCATCTCTACCTCCTCAGATGCCTGAGGGACTTTAAGCTCCCTCTCAAGGTGCTCAGGAACTTTTACACCTGCACTATTGACAGTGTTCTGGCTGGGAGTATCACCACCTGGATGGGCAGCAGCACCCAGCAGGACTTCTTGTCCCTGAGGAGGGTGGTCCACTCAGCTGAGCGCACCATCAGAACCACCCTCCCGAACCTACAGGACATTTACACCAAGTGATGCAGGTTA